TCTTGTACTTTGTATCAGTGTTATTAGATTTATATAATTTTATATCCTTAACTTGCAAGATTTCTCATGATCTTTGAAGTCATTCACGTACATTGAGAATAAAATAGATTTCAGATCTGATCATTATACTAACCCAATTCTTAATGCTCTCCTATGAATATTCTCCATACTGTGAATATATTCTTCTAAACAGGTATTCTCTTACGCAGTTTAAACTCTTTGGAATTCCTTCCTGTCTTTTCAGTTCTTTAAATTACCATTGTTAAAATATTGACAGTCGTATTGTTTTTGTCATCGAGATCTTCAAGTTGTTTCTTAACTTGCCACTATATTATTTACAAATCACTCGGCAATTTCTTTTGTTAAGTCCTCGGCCCCTAATTCTTAACTATTACTCTGTTACGAATATCAAATACTGTATAACGGCTCATTATCTTAATCTGCGACTGAACTCTCTTGATATTTATTCCTATTACAAACAATACGAATTAGATTTTGCTATAAATGCTTAAAAATATAAATAGTTGGCTTATTGACAGCTAATATCATTTATAATTTATGGAAAATGTAAATAAATTTGTTTTGTCGTTTTATAGAATATGTAGCATCATCGTTACTGACACTAGATGACAAAAGGAAATAGTTGGAGACCATATATTTACATTTCTCATTTAATCCTATATTAATTATATTATTTGGTCATATTCATTCAGGAGTAGTGCTTTTCGGTAATACTAGACTAATATCGTAGACAACAAATACACCGAAATGTGTACCCCGATTCTTGTTGTACACAAAGGGAAAGTTAACCTAAAAAATAAACTCATGACAATGAAAAAACACACATATGCTATATTATATATATATATATATATATATATATATATATATATATATATATATATATATATATATATATATATATATATATATATATATATTTACATATATGAAGGGAGTACCACCTCTGGCTGGAAGAAGGGGATCCTTAGCCTCGGAGGAAACCACATATAACGCATTAGAGGGAATGTTTAGGTCCCCTCCAATACTGTTTCTGTGTGCTTTTCTCCTACCACCCCCTTCCTTTTTATTTTTTTTTGCTTTATTATATATTTAAAGGTTACAAGATATACATTGGTTGATACAAAGAGTGCTTAAAGGTTATGGGTCTCTTGAAGCTTCTCCGCTTCCGGGCAGGAACCGAGAATGCAGCAGGCGTTTCCCCTCTGGATTGCCATACTGAGGCGCTGAAATAAAAATTTGACAGCTCTCGGGTCTGTGGATCAATGAGCTCTGGATCAATGAGCTTCGAGCCCAATTCCTTGAGAAATCCCAAGGCACTCTTGCCCCAGGGGCCATGCGTCTTGTATCGACCTTCCAATCACCTGTATTTGGTTGATTTTGCTATTTCCCTGTGGTTGGCCGCTCCACCTGCTTGATCAGCTCCGAGGTGTATATAGGTGTCAGCCAGCGTGGATACACATGTGTAGTCCAACACCAACTGTCTACCCTCCTTCCAGGAGTATATGGTGATGCCATCAGGGCGAAGTGCGGGGAAATCCAAGTTTTGGACCCCTAGGATACGAGGTTCTCTCTCCGCTGGGCACTGAGCTGAGACGAGGCTTCTCTTGATGATGTCATTGACCTTGACATCATCTATATATATAGATATATCTATATATATAGATATATCTATATATATAGATAAATATATCTATATATATAGACAGCGCCCGGGATTCGTAGTTATGTAGAACAGGGATCGATCCCTAGCTATGGCGGAAACAAATGGGCAGAGTTTTATTCAACCTATTGCCCCCTGTTCTTCTAGCAGTGAATAGACAGCTGCTAGGGGATGCTTCCTGGGAGTGGGTGTGTGTGAGAAAAAAGTTGATTGATTAACAGTTGGGAGGCGCGCCGAAAGAGCTGTTGCTCAACCGCTGAAATCCCAACACACACACACACACACACGGGCACTCAGAAACACTTTAACACAGTATACCACAAGAGTCTGGAACAAAAGTTGTAGAAACAGGTAGGAATAATAGGTATGGTGCTCCAGTGGATAAGGGCGTATCTAATAAACAGTAAACAGTGAGTTACTGTGAGAGGGAGAAACCTCAGAATGGCGAGATGTCACTATCAGGGTCCCACAGGATTCTGTACCCCGACCCATGCTATTTTTATTATATATAAACGATTTTATAGATAGTATACACTCAAAAAAATTTGCTGAAGAGGAATATCCTTGCAAAAACTAATTAAAAAAATGATAAAGAAAGAGGAAGACAGAGAGATTATAAGACCACCTGACAAACTGAGAAGAATGGCCTAGTAAATGTCTACTAGAGTTTAAATCAAGTAAGTGTAAAGTAATGGAAAAAGGTGAAGGGAGGACTAGACATAAGACAAGGTACAATATGTGAGGCGAAATCCTTCAATAATCTGGTACAGAGAAAAATCTGTGGAATATCGTATCGAAACTGTCCCCAGAAGATCACATGAAAAGGATTTCATCAGAGGCCTATGCTAGGTTAGCCAGCAAAAGAAACTTGTGAATGGAACTATTCAGAACCTTGTCAGGCCTACATTTGTCAGCCCAACCTTGTCAGATCTACATTTGTCAGCCCAGATTATACAGCTCCAGCCTAGAGCTTGCTGAACACTAGACAAAGTTAGAACACATTCAGAGTTATGCCACTAGAATAGTTCCAGAGCTAAGAAATATGTGATACGAGGAAAAGCTACAGGAATTAAACCTCACGTCCCAGGAAGACAAAAGAATTTCGGGAGATATGATCTTCACCTACAAAATCCGCGGTACAATTCACAGGAGGCAAAGATATAATATTTAGCCTAAGTGGAACGCGATCAAGGGAACATGCAAGGAAACTCAGAAATAACGGTTGGTTTCATTATCAGAGTAGTTAACAAATGGCATGCACTTTAAAGAGATGTGGTGGAGGTAGGCTCCATATACATTTTCAAATGTAGATATTATCCACCCCAAATCGGCTCAAGAAAAGGTATACCAGTTGATTGACGGTTGACAGACGGGACCAAAGAGCTGAAGTTCAACCCCCACGAGCACCACTAGGTGAGTATATGTAAACCTGTAAATAACAACATTCACACGTAAACATGTAAACACACACACACAGACGTAAAAACACACGAACGTAAACATGCATACATACATATACACAAATAAACACATATACAATCATACACGTGTTGATTGACTGTTGAGAGGTGGGACCAAAAAGCCAAAGCTCAACCCCCTCCCCCCCAAATCAAGCAAAACTTGGTGAGCATATATACATACAATCGCATAAATACATTTACACACATATATATACTCATACACATATATGACCATACATACACTCGTACATTTATTTATTTATTTATTTATTTATTTATTTATTTATTTATTTATTTATTTATTTATTTATTTATTTATGCAAGAGTTCTTACATTCGTTAACAGCCACTAGCATGCATAGCGATTGAGATAAGTCCTTAATCGTATGTTCCCCGTAATACAACCCGCCAAGTCGTTTAACAACCAAGAACCCATTTTATTCTTGGGTAAACGACGCTACAGTTAAGGATTGGCGCCCAGTAAATCCTCCCCGGCAAGGATACGAACCCAGGACAAAGTGCTAGCGAAACGCCAGGCGAGTGTCTTACCACTTCACTACGGCGACATGTCTACATACACATACAGAAACGTACATACATACATGCATACATTTTCATACATCTGAGGGTTCTGGTAGCTGTGTGGACAGCGCGCGGGACTTGAAATCCTGGGACCCTGGTTCGATTCCCGGACTAGGCAGAGACAAATGGTCAGAGATTCTTTAACCCTAATGCTCCTGTTACCTAGCAGCAAATAGGTACCTGGGAGTTAGGCAGCTGTTACGGAGCTGCTTCCTGGGTGTGTGTGGGGGGAGGGAGGAATTAGTTAGTATTTAGTAACAGTTGATTGATTGACAGTTCAAAGGTGGGCCGAAAGGGCAGAACTCAATTTCAACAAGCACAACTAGGTGAATTCACAAATATAAATACATTCATACACATACAACAACACAATAAAAGTTTCCTCCTGGATTTTCAGTAAGCTGTATAATTACGGCGGTATTAATGACTCTCTGGAAGTTGATAGGGTTTAAGCACAACACCTAACCAAAAGCTTCTCTGGTTAAATTCTGAACACTTTCCATTGCCTTTTTATTCGTAATACGGAAGTATCCCCCGCTACTTTTATTTGAACCCTCAGTCTGTCCCTATCGAGTAATTATCTGATCATTTATGATCATCTTCATTCTGAAGTGACATATGTAGGAGTTTGCTCATTTGTTAGGAAAGAATATACATAATTTCAGATTACACACAGAAATCACATAGACGTGATGCATCAATAAGCAAATCCACAAGGGCCGTGACGAGGATTTGAACCTACGTCCGAGATGATCCCATACGCTGCCTTAATCGACTGAGCTACGACATGGTCAAAAGAGTTCACACCGAAGTTCTACTACTATTACTGGATCCTGCAGTTTCTCTGAGACAAAAAAACCCACAAACCATGGAGAAGTTGTGTAAAACTCTAGTTTGTGTCTCGGAGAGACTAGAGGCTCCAGTAAGTGCAGTAGAACTTCGGTTTCAACTCTTTTGACCATATCGTAGCTCAGTCGATTAAGGCAGTGTCTGGGATCATCTCGGACGTAGGTTCGAATCCTCGTCACGGCCCTTGTGGATTTGTTTATAATTTCAGATTCCTTCATAGCTTGAAGAACAAATTTCCTTATGTCATGCACAGTATTGATTGACTTCGCAAGTGTCGTCTGCTACATGAGAAGTTGTGACTTGTTAGGGAGTTTCTTCGGGTGCATGTGGTGACAGTGTGTGTGAATGCAAGTGCAGCAAGAATATGACTGAACACTGTCTCTGTCACAACAATTGTTTTGGTAGTGTAGTTGAAGAAGTGGAGCGATGGTGTTAGCCCACCTCCCTCACTCTGTGTTCTACAATAAGTGTACGCATGGAATGGAAACGTTCAAACCTGTATGGACTTGGATGAAGTATTTGCCTACTGATTGTAAGCTATATTGGAGGGCAAGTGGGGCCTGTGTGAGTGTATGAAGTAGTATGAAGAACTATGAAGATGAATAATAAAAGATATGTGAAGAAGTATGAAGAACTATGAATTCATTCTTCCCTTTTATGTTTCAGAAGAACATTCTTATCTCACATGTCAATTGCTTCTATATTCTAATATTTTGTCCTTAATTCTTTTGTTCTGGAAGAAAAGATCTTATCTAACCTAAGTATATAAAAACCAGTATTTAATGCTTCAAGGCACTGAATGTTAGTTCACTGTTATATATGGACAATAGACACGGGTTCCTCAGATACCTCATAGTGATTCAAGTTACATATATATTTTTTCATCGTGATTCAAGTTACATATATTAGCAGTTTTCTTAAATATTCTGCTTCTGCTTTAGTTTGTATCTCTATATTTTACTTTTTACTTTTATCTTTAAATGTTGAAACTTTTGAAACAATTATTCGCTGAAGTTACTTACCAAACAGATTTAGACGAAGTGTTGCACATACTCAAAAAAAAAAAGCTTAAATTAAGATTCATATTTTCAATAATGAATAATATATCAATAATCCAATGATTTAATAGTAATTACTTACAATATATTATTTACATTTTAAAGTAATGTTAATTTTCTCATAACTGTTTTACCATCAGGGTTTCAACAACACCAACGACTTCGACAACAACTACATTCTCCACTACATTTACAACAACTACGACTTCCACCACATCTGCAACAACTACGACCTCCACTACATCTGCAACAACTAAGACCTCCACTTCATCTACCACAACTACGACCTTAACTACATCTACCACAACCACGACATCCACTACAACTACCTCAACTACGACCTCCACTACATCTACAACAACTACGACCTCCACTTCACCTGCATCAACTACAACCTCCACTCCATCTACAACAACTACGACCTCCACTATATCTACAACAACTTCGACCTCCACAAAATCAGCAACATCGACGACCTCCACTATATCTACAACAACTACGAGTACAACATCAACTACTTCTACCGTAACTACGACCTCCACTACATCTGCAACATGTACGACATCCACTACTACAACAACTACTACCTCCACTACATCTGCAACAACTACGACCTGCTCTACATGTGCAACAACTACGACCTCCACTACATCTGCAACAACTACGAGGTGCTCTACATGTGCAACAACTACAACATCTACTATATCTGCAACAACTACAACCTCCACTCCATTTTCAACAACTACGAGTACAACATCAATTATTTCTACGATAACTATTATCTCCACTACATCTACAGCTACTACAACCACAGCTACATCTTCAACAACGACGACCTCCACTACATCAACAACAAAAACTACGACCTCGACTACATCAACAATAAAGAGTACAACTTCAACTACTACAACAACTACGACTTCCATTACATCTTCAACAACTACCATCTCGACTCTTTCTACAACAACTGCATCAACTACAACAACTACTACCTCTGCTACATCAACAACCTCGACCTCGACTACACCTACAACTACGACCTCCACTACAACAACAACTACCACCTCAACTACATCTACAACAACGATGACCTCCACTACGTCTACAACAATTACGACCTCGACTGCATCTACACCAACTACGACCTCGACTACGTCTACAATAATTACGACCTCCACTACATCAACAACAACTACGACCTCAACAACATCAACAACAACGACCACCTCCACTGCATCAACAACTACGACCTCATCTACATCTACAACTACTACGACCTCAACTTCATTTACAACAACTACAACCTCCACTCAATCTTCAACAACTACGAGTTCAACGTCAAATATTTCTACCACAACTACGACCTCCACTTCACCTGCAACCACTACGACCTCCAATATATCTACGACAACTACGACATCCACTACATCAACAGTTACGAGTACAACTTCAACTACTACAACAACAACGACCTCCAGGACAGCTACAACAACTACAACTTCCACTACAACTGCAACAACTACGACATCCACTACTTCTACAACTACGACCTACACTACATCTGCAACAACTACGAGGTGCTCTACATGTGCAACAACTACGATCTCGACTACATCTACAACAACGACGAGTTCAACTTCAACTATTTCTATAACTACTACGACCTCCACTACTTCTACAATTGTGACCTCCACTACATCTGCAACAACTCCGACCTCCACTACATCCACAACAACTACGACCTCCACTATATCTTCATCAACTACAACCTCCACTACATCTGACACAACTACGACTTCCACTACATCTGCAACAACCACGACCTCCACTACATCTACAACAACTTCGAGTACAATATCAACTATTTCTACAACAACTACCACCTCATCTACATCTACAACTTCGACCTCATCTACATCAACAACTACGACCTCCACTACAACAACTACTAGTTTAACTTCAACTATTTCTACAACAACTACGACCTCATCTACATCTACAACAACTACGACCTCATCTACATCTATAACAACTACGACCTCATCTACATCTACAACAACTACGACCTCATCTACATCTACAACAACTACGACCTCATCTACATCAACAACTACGACCTCCACTACACCAACTACTAGTTCAACTTCAACTATTTCTACAACAACTACGACCTCCACTCCATCTACAACAACTACGACATCCACTACATCCACAACAACTACGAGTACAACATTAACTATTTCAACAACAACTACGACCTCATCCGCGTCTACAACTACCACGACCAACACTACATCTACAACAACTACAACCTCCACTCCATCTTCAACCACTACGAGTACAACATCAACTATTTCTTCCACAACTACGACGTCCACTACATCTACCCCATCTACGAGCTCCACTACATCTACAGCAACTACGACATTCACTATATCTTCAACAACTACGATCTTGACTCTTTCTACAACAACTGCATCAACTACAACAACTACTACCTCTGCTACATCAACAACCTCGACCTCGACTACATCTACAACTACGACCTCCACTATATCAACAACAACTACCACCTCAACTACATCTACAACAACGATGACCTCCACTACGTCTACAACAATTACGACCTGGACTGCATCTACACCAACTACGACCTCGACTACGTCTATAATAATTACGACCTCCACTACATCAACAACAACTACGACCTCATCAACATCAACAACAAAGACCACCTCCACTGCATCAACAACTACGACCTCATCTACATCTACAACTACTACGACCTCAACTTCATTTACAACAACTACAACCTCCACTCAATCTTCAACAACTACAAGTACAACATCAAATATTTCTACCACAACTACGACCTCCACTTCACCTGCAACCACTACGACCTCCACTATATCTACGACAACTACGACATCCACTACATCAACAGTTACGAGTACAACTTCAACTACTACAACAACAACGACCTCCAGGACAGCTACAACAACTACAACTTCCACTACAACTGCAACAACTACGACATCCACTACTTCTACAACTACGACCTACACTACATCTGCAACAACTACGAGGTGCTCTACATGTGCAACAACTACGATCTCGACTACATCTACAACAACGACGAGTTCAACTTCATCTATTTCTATAACTACTACGACCTCTACTACTTCTACAATTGTGACCTCCACTACATCTGCAACAACTCCGACCTCCACTACAATAACAACAACTACGACTTTCACTACATCTACAACAAGTACAACCTCCACTACATCCACAACAACTACGACCTCCACTATATCTTCATCAACTACGACGTCCACTACATCTGACACAACTACGACTTCCACTACATCTGCAACAACCACGACCTCCACTACATCTACAACAACTTCGAGTACAATATCAACTATTTCTACAACAACTACCACCTCATCTACATCTACAACTTCGACCTCATCTACATCAACAACTACGACCTCCACTACAACAACTACTAGTTTAACTTCAACTATTTCTACAACAACTACGACCTCATCTACATCTACAACAACTACGACCTCATCTACATCTACAACAACTACGACCTCATCTACATCAACAACTACGACCTCCACTACACCAACTACTAGTTCAACTTCAACTATTTCTACAACAACTACGACCTCCACTCCATCTACAACAACTACGACATCCACTACAACCACAACAACTACGAGTACAACATCAACTATTTCAACAACTACGACCTCATCCGCGTCTACAACTACTACGACCTACACTACATCTACAACAACTACAACCTCCACTCCATCTTCAACCACTACGAGTACAACATCAACAATTTCTTCCACAACTACGACGTCCACTACATCTACCCCATCTACGAGCTCCACTACATCTACAGCAACTACGACATTCACTATATCTTCAACAACTACGATCTCGACTCTTTCTACAACAACTGCCTCAACTACAACAACTACTAACACTGCTACATCAACAACCTCGACCTCGACTACATCTACAACTACGACCTCCACTACATCAACAACAACTACCACCTCAACTACATCTACAACAACGATGACCTCCACTACGTCTACAACAATTACGACCTGGACTGCATCTACACCAACTACGACCTCGACTACATCTACAATAATTACGACCTTCACTACATCAACAACAACTACGACCTCAACAACATCTACAACAACGACCACCTCAACTGCATCAACAACTACGACTTCATCTACATCTACAACTACTACGACCTCAACTACATTTACAACAACTACAACCTCCACTCAATTTTCAACAACTACGAGTACAACATCAACTATTTCTACCACAACTACGACCTCCACTTCGCCTGCAACAACTACGACCTCCACTACATCTACGACAACTACGACATCCCCTACATCAACAGTTACGAGTATAGCCTCAACTACTACAACAACAACGACCTCCAGCACAGCTACAACAACTACAACTTCCACTACAGCTGCAACAACTACGACATCCACTACTTCTACAACCACGACCTCCACTACATCTACAACAACTACGACATCCACTATATCCACAACAACTACGAGTACAACATCAACTATTTCAACAACAACTACGACCTCATCCGCGTCTACAACTACTACGACGTACACTACATCTACAACAACTACAACCTCCACTTCATCTTCAACCACTACGAGTACAACATCAACAATTTCTTCCACAACTACGACGTCCACTACATCTACCCCATCTACGAGCTCCACTACATCTACAGCAACTACGACATTCACTATATCTTCAACAACTACGATCTCGACTCTTTCTACAACAACTGCATCAACTACAACAACTACTACCTCTGCTACATCAACAACCTCGACCTCGACTACATCTACAATTACGACCTCCACTACATCAACAACAACTAGCACCTCAACTACATCTACAACAACGATGACCTCCACTACGTCTACAACAATTACGACCTGGACTGCATCTACACCAACTACGACCTCGACTACATCTACAATAATTACGACCTCCACTACATCAACAACAACTACGACCTCAACAACATCTACAACAACGACCACCTCCACTGCATCAACAACTACGACCTCATCTACATCTACAACTACTACGACCTCAACTACATTTACAACAACTACAACCTCCACTCCATCTTCACCAACTACGAGTACAACATCAACTATTTCTACCACAACTACGACCTCCACTTCGCCTGCAACAACTACGACTTCCACTACATCTACGACAACTACGACATCCACTACATCAACAGTTACGAGTACAACTTCAACTATTACAACAACAACGACCTCCGGTACAGCTACAACAACTACAACTTCCTCTACAACTGCAACAACTACGACATCCACTACTTCTACAACTACGACCTCCACTACTTCAACAACTACAAGCACATCAACAACAACAACTACATCTTCTACATCAACAAGTTTCATAACAATGTAAATACATGACTCACGCAGCTCTTCGATATGAAGTATAAAGGCATTCTCCTTTTGTACGATGAATGGTTCGAATAGATTAACAAAATGATGGTGGTGGTGATGTTTCTGTTGATGAATATAACCTCAGTTGATTTTAGAATATACAAGTAATTTGTGTGTATGTGTGTGCAAATTATATATATATATAATATATATATATATATATATATATATATATATATATATATATATATATATATATATATATATATATATATATATATATATATATATATATAATTATTTTTTACGTTCCTGAGCACCACTGCACATATTCATACTACTGACTGGCGCACCTAGCAGCACACTTGTTCTGGCTTAAATAAATTTTATAGATCTCGATTCATTCGTTTGTATGTACCTCAAGTATCCAGGGCAAATCTTAGCAATCGCCTCTAGGTAAGCTGTTTTAATTTACTTTCACATACGTATTTCATGAAATTGGGTCTTCAACCAGGAATACTTATTCCAAAAAAAGGGTCTCTATTAATACTACTCGCATATTCGCTAACGTTGCACACATGACAGATGTCCTTCTGCTTTGTGACTCCTTTTATCACTTAACATGTGTTATCTGACGTAAACCATTACTTCATCTTGCACGATCTCAGCTGTTTCTTTGTCATCAGAAGAAATTCTATAACTCTTGTCCTTTGCATCAGTTTTATTAGATTTATATAAGTATATATCCTTAACTTGCAAGATTTCTCATGATCTTTGAAGTCATTCACGTACATTGAGAATAAAATAGATTTCAAATCTGATCCTTATACTAACCCAATTCTCAATGCTCTCCTATGAATATTCTCAATTCTGTGAATATATACTTTTAAAAAGGTATTCGCTTACGCAGTTTAAACTCTTTGGCATTCATGCCTGTCTTTTCGGTTCCTTAAATTACCATTGTTAAAATATTGTCAGTCCTGTTGTTTTTGTCTTCGAGATCTTCAAGTTGTTTCTTAACTTGCCACTATATTATTTACAAATCACTCGGCTATTTGTTTTGTTAAGTCTACGGCCCCCAATTCTTAACTATTACTCTGTTACGAATATGAAATACTGTATAACGGCTCATTATCTTAATCTGCGACTGAACTCTCTTGATATTTATTCCTATTACAAACAATACGAATTAGGTTTTGCTATAAATGCTTAAAAATAAAAATAGTTGGCTTATTGACAGCTAATATCATTTATAATTTATGGAAAATGTAAATAAATTAGTTTTGCCGTTTTATAGAATATGTAGCATCATCGTTACTGACACTAGATGACAAAAAGAAATAGCTGGAGACCATATATTTACATTTCTCATTTAATCCTATATTAATTATATTATTTGGTCATATTCATTCAGGAGTAGTTCTTTTCGGTAATACTAGACTAATATCGTAGACAACAAATACACCGAAATGTGTACCCCGATTCTTGTTGTTCACAAATGGAAAGTTAACCTAAAAAATAAACTCATGACAATGAAAAAGAAACATATTCTATATTATATATATATATATATATATATATATATATATATATATATATATATATATATATATATATATATATATATATATATATATATATATATATATGAAGGGAGTACCACCTCTGGCTGGAAGAAGGGGATCCTTAGCCTCGGAGGAAACCACACATAACGCATTAGAGGGAATGTTTAGGTCCCACTCCAATACTGTTTCTGTGTGCTTTTCTCCTACCACCCCCTTCCTTTTTATTTTTTTTGCTTTATTATATATTTAAAGGTTACAAGATATACATTGGTTGATACAAAGAGTGCTTAAAGGTTATGGATCTCTTGAAGCTCCTTCGCTTCCGGACAGGAACCGAGAATGCAGCAGGCGTTTTCCCTCTGGATTGCCACACTGAGGCGCTGAAACAAAAAATTGGCAGCTCTCGGGTCTGTGTTGACGTCAATGAGCTTCGAGCCCAATTCCTTGAGAAATCCCAAGGCACTCATGCCCCAGGGGCAATGCGTCTCAGACGCTATGGGAACAAAGGTGTATCGACCTTCCAATCACCTGTATTTGGTTGATTTTGCTATTTCCCTATGGTTGGCCGCTCCACCTGCTTGATCAGCTCCGAGGTGTACATAGGTGTCAGCCATCGTGGATACACATGTGTAGTCCAACACCAACTGTCTACCCTCCTTCCACGAGTATATGGTGATGCCATCAGGGCGAAGTGCGGGGAAATCCAAGTTTTGGACCCCTAGGATACGAGGTTCTCTCTCCGCTGGGCACTGAGCTGAGACGAGGCTTCTCTTGATGATGTCATTGACCTTGACATCATCTATATATATAGATATATCTATATATATAGATAGATATATCTATATATATAGACAGCGCCCGGGATTCGTAGGCATGTAGAACAGGGATCGATCCCTGGCTATGGCGGAAACAAATGGGCAGAGTTTTATTCAACCTATTGCCCCCTGTTCTTCTAGCAGTGAATAGACAGCTGCTAGGGGATGCTTCCTGGGAGTGGGTGTGTGTGAGAAAAAAGTTGATTGATTAACAGTTGGGAGGCGCGCCGAAAGAGCTATTGCTCAACCGCTGAAATCCCAACACACACACACACACACACGGGCACTCAGAAACACTTTAACACAGTATACCACAAGAGTCTGGAACAAAAGTTGTAGAAACAGGTAGGAATAATAGGTAAGGTGCTCCAGTGGATAAGGGCGTATCTAAGAAACAGTAAACAGTGAGAGACTGTGAGAGGGAGAAACCTCAGAATGGCGAGATGTCACTATCAGGGTCCCACAGGACTCTGTACCCCGACCCATGCTATTTTTATTATATATAAACGATTTTATAGATAGTATACACTCGAAATATTTGCTGAAGAGGAATATTCTTGCAAAAGCTAATTAAAAAAATGATAAAGAAAGAGGAAGACAGAGAGATTATAAGACCACCTGACAAACTGAGAAGAATGGCCTAGTAAATGTCTACTAGAGTTTAAATCAAGTAAGTGTAAAGTAATGGAAAAAGGTGAAGGGAGGACTTGACATAAGACAAGGTACAATATGTGAGGCGAAATCCTTCAATAATCTGGTACAGAGAAAAATCTGTGGAATATCACATCGAAACTGTCCCCAGAAGATCACATGAAAAGGATTTCATCAGAGACCTATGCTAGGTTAGCCAGCAAAAGAAACTTGTCAATGGAACTATTCAGAACCTTGTCAGGCCTACATTTGTCAGCCCAACCTTGTCAGATCTACATATGTCAGCCCAGAGTATACAGCACCAGCCTAGAGCTTGCTGAACACTAGACAAAGTTAGAACACATTCAGAGTTATGCCACAAGAATAGTTCCAGAGCTAAGAACTATGTGATACGAGAAAAAGCTACAGGAATTAAACCTCACGTCCCAGGAAGACAGAAGAGTTTCAGGAGTTATGATCTTCACCTACAAAATCCGCGGTACAATTCACAGGAGGCAAAGACATAATATTTAGCCTAAGTGGAACGCGATCAAGGGAACATGCAAGGAAACTCAGAAATAACGGTTGGTTTCATTATCAGAGTAGTTAACAAATGGAATGTACTTTAAAGAGATGTGGTGGAGGTAGGCTCTAAATACATTTTCAAATGTAGATATTATCCACCCCAAATCGGCTCAGGAAAAGGTATACCAGTTGATTGACGGTTGACAGACGGGACCAAAGAGCTGAAGTTCAACCCCCACGAGCACCACTAGGTGAGTATATGTAAACCTGTAAATAATAACACTCACACGTAAAAATGTAAACACACACACACAGACGTAAAAACACACGAACGTAAACATGCATACATACATATACACAAATAAACACATATACAATCATACACGTGTTGATTGACTGTTGAGAGGTGGGACCAAAAAGCCAAAGCTCAACCCCCTCCCCCCCAAATCAAGCAAAACTTGGTGAGCATATATACATACAATCGCATAAATACATTTACACACATATATATACCCATACACATATATGACCATACATACACCCGTACATTTATTTATTTATTTATTTATTTATTTATTTATTTATTTATTTATTTATGCAAGAGTTCTTACATTCGTTAACAGCCACTAGCATGCATAGCGATTCAGACAAGTTCTTAATCGTATGTTCTCCGTAATACAACCCGCCAAGTCGTTTAACAACCAAGAACCCATTTTATTCTTGGGTAAACGACGCTACAGTTAAGGATTGGCGCCCAGTAAATCGTCCCCGGCAAGGATACGAACCCAGGACCAAGTGCTAGCGAAACGCCAGGCGAGTGTCTTACCACTTCACCACGGCGACATGTCTACATACACATACAGAAACGTACATGCATACATCTTCATACATCTGAGGGTTCTGGTAGCTGTGTGGACAGCGCGCGAGACTCGAAATCCTGGGACCCTGGTTTGATTCCCGGACTAGGCAGAGACAAATGGTCAGAGATTCTTTAACCCTAGTGCTCCTGTTACCTAGCAGCAAATAGGTACCTGGGAGTTAGACAGCTGTTACGGAGCTGCTTCCTGGGCGTGTGTGTGGGGGGGGGGAGGAATTAGTTAGTATTTAGTAACAGTTGATTGATTGACAGTTCAGAGGTGGGCTGAAAGGGCAGAGCTCAATTTCAACAAGCACAACTAGGTGAATTCACAAATATAAATACATTCATACACATACAACAAGTACAACAACAACACAATAAAATTTTCCTCTTGGATTTTCAGTAAGCTGTATAATTACGGCGGTATTAATGACTCCCTGGAAGTTGATAGGGTTTAAGCACAACACCTAACCAGAAGCTTCTCTGGTTAAATTCTAAACACTTTCCATTGCCTTTTTATTAGTAATACGGAAGTATCCCCCCCCCCCTACATTTATTTGAATCCTCAGTCTCTCCCTATCGAGTAATTATCTGATCATTTATGATCATCTTCATTCTGAAGTGACTTATGTAGGAGTTTGCTCATTTGTTAGGAAAGAATATACATAATTTCAGATTACACACAGAAATCACATAGACGTGATGCATCAATAAGCAAATCCACAAGGGCCGTGACGAGGATTCGAACCTACGTCCGAGATGATCCCATACGCTGCCTTAATCGACTGAGCTACTACATGGTCAAAAGTTTTCACACCGAAGTTCTACTACTATTACTGGATTCTGCAGTCTCTCTGAGACAAAAAAAAACACAAACCATGGAGAAGTTGTGTAAAACCCTGGTTTGTGTCTCGGAGACACTAGAGGCTCCAGTAAGTGCAGTAGAACTTCGGTTTCAACTCTTTTGACCATATCGTAGCTCAGTCGATTAAGGCAGCGTCTGGGATCATCTCGGACGTAGGTTCGAATCCTCGTCACGGCCCTTGTGGATTTGTTTATAATTTCAGATTCCTTCATAACTTGAAGAACAAATTTCCTTATGCTATGTACAGTTCCATTTATGAATTCATTCTTCCCTTTTATGTTTCAGAAGAACATTCTTATCTCACATGTCAATTGCTTCTATATTCTAATATTTTGTCCTTAATTCTTTTGTCCTGGAAGAAAAGATCTTTTCTAACCTAGGTATATAAAAACCAGTATTTAATGCTTCAAGGCACTGAATGTTAGTTCACTGTTATATATGGACAATAGACACGGGTTCCTCAGATACCTCCTCTCTTTCATCGTGATTCAAGTTACATATATTAGCAGTTTTCTTAAATATTCTGCTTCTGCTTTAGTTTGTATCTCTATATTTTACTTTTTACTTTTATCTTTAAATGTTGAAACTTTTGAAACAATTATTCGCTGAAGATACTTACCAAACAGATTTAGACGAAGTGTTGCACATACTCAAAAAAAAATCCTTAAATTAAGATTCATATTTTCAATAATGAATCATATATCAATAATCCAATGATTTAATAGTAATTACTTACAATATATTATTTACATTTTAAAGTAATGTTAATTTTTTCATAACTGTTTTACCTTCAGGGTTTCAACAACACCAACGACTTCGACAACAACTACATTCTCCACTACATTTACAACAACTACGACTTCCACCACATCTGCAACAACTACGACCTCCACTACATCTACACCAACTACGACCTCCACTACATCTGCAACAACACACTACATCTACACGACACAAGCCTCACTACATCCACTACACACTACATCTCAACTACGACCTCCACTACATCTACAACAACTACGACCTCCACTTCACCTGCATCAACTACAACCTCCACTCCATCTACAACAACTACGACCTCCACTATATCTACAACAACTTCGACCTCCACAAAATCAGCAACATCGACGACCTCCACTATATCTACAACAACTACGAGTACAACATCAACTACTTCTACCGTAACTACGACCTCCAATACATCTGCAACAAGTACGACATCCACTACTACAACAACTACTACCTCCACTACATCTGCAACAACTACGACCTGCTCTACATGTGCAACAACTACGACCTCCACTACATCTGCAACAACTACGAGGTGCTCTACATGTGCAACAACTGCAACATCTACTATATCTGCAACAACTACAACCTCCACTCCATCTTCAACAACTACGAGTACAACATCAATTACTTCTACGATAACTACTACCTCCACTACATCTACAGCTACTACAACCTCAGCTACATCTACAACAACGACGACCTCCACTACATCAACAACAACAACTACGACCTCGACTACATCAACAATAAAGAGTACAACTTCAACTACTACAACAACTACGACTTCCATTACATCTTCAACAACTATGACCTCCACTTCATCTGCATCAACTACGATCTCCACTACATTTACAACAACTACGACCTTGTCTATATCTACAACAATTACGACCTCCACTATATCAACAACAATTACGACCTCAGCTACATCTACAACAACGACAACCTCCACTACATCAACAACAACAACTACGTGCTCGACTACATCTATACCAACTACGATCTCGACTACATCTACAACAACGACAAGTTCAACTTCAACTATTTCTACAACAACTACTACGGCCTTCACTACATCTACAACAACTACTACGGCCTTCACTACATCTACAACAACTACTACGGCCTTCACTACATCTGTAACAACTACGACTTCCACTACATCTACAACTACAACCTCCACTACATCTACAACTACAACCTCCACTACATCTGAAACAACTACGACCTCCACTACATCAACAACTACGACCTCCACTGCATCAACAATTACGAGTACAACCTCAACTACTACAACAACTTCGACCTCCACTACAACAACTACGACCTTCACTCCATCTATAACTGCGAGTTCAACTTCAACTACTTCTACAACAACTACGACCTCCACTTCACCTACAACAACTACGACCCCCACTACTTCTATACCAACTACAACCTCCACAATATTTACAACAACTACTATCTCCACTACATCTACAACAACTACGACCTCTTCTACATCCACAACAACTACGACCTCCACTACATCTACAACAACTACATCAGTTACGTCAACAACTACGACCTCCACTACAACAACTACGACCTTCACTCCATCTACAACTACGAGTTCATATTCAACTATTTCTACAACAACTACGACCTCAACTTCATCTACAACAAGTACGACCTCCACTACTTCTACAACAACTACAACCTCCACTATATTTACAACAACTACGATATCCACTATATCTACAACAACTACGACCTCCACTGCATCTACAACAACTACGACATCAACAACTACGACCTCCACTACATCAACAACAACTACGACCTTGACTACATATACAACAACTACGACCTCCACTACATCTACAACCACTACGACATCAACTACAACATCAACTATGACCTCTACTACATCTACAACAACTACGACCTCGACTACATCTACAACAACGACGAGTTCAACTTCAACTATTTCTATAACTACTACGACCTCCACTACATCTACAATTACGACCTCCACTACATCTGCAACAACTACGACTTCCACTACATCTGCAACAACCACGACCTTCACTACATCGACAATAACTTCGAGTACAACATCAACTATTTCTACAACAACTACCACCTCATCTACATCTACAACTTTGACCTCATCTACATCAACAACTACGACCTCCACTACATCAACAACAACAACTAGTTCAACTTCAACTATTTCTACAACAACTACGACCTCATCTACATCTACAACAACTACGACCTCATCTACATCTACAACAACTACGACCTCATCTACATCAACAACTACGACCTCATCTACATCAACAACTACTACGACCTTCACTACATACACCAACTACTACTTCAACTTCACATCTACAACAACTACGACCTCCACTCCATCTACAACAACTACGACATCCACTACATCCACAACAACTACGAGTACAACATCAACTATTTCAACAACAACTACGACCTCATCTGCATCTACAACTACTACGACCTACACTACATCTACAACAACTACAACCTCCACTCCATCTTCAACCACTACGAGTACAACTTCAACTATTTCTTCCACAACTACGACGTCCACTACATCTACTCTATCTATGAGCTCCACTACATCTACAGCAACTACGACATTCACTACATCTTCAACAACTACGATCTCGACTCTTTCTACAACAGCTACATTAACTACAACAACTCCATCAACTAAAACAACTACTACCTCTGCTACATCAACAACCTCGACGGCGACTACATCTACAACTACGACCTCCACTACATCAACAACAACTACCATCTCAACTACATCTACAACAACGATGACCTCCACTACGTCTACAACAATTACGACCTCGACTGCATCTACACCAACTACGACCTCGACTACATCTACAATAATTACGACCTCCACTATATCAACAACAACTACGAACTCAACAACATCTACAACAACGACCACCTCCACTGCATCAACAACTACGACCTCATCTACATCTACAACTACTACGACCTCAACTACATTTACAACAACTACAACCTCCACTCAATCTTCAACAACTACGAGTACAACATCAACTATTTCTACCACAACTACGACCTCCACTTCGCCTGCAACAACTACGACCTCCACTACATCTACGACAACTACGACATCCACTACATCAATAGTTACGAGTATACCCTCAACTACTACAACACCAACGACCTCCAGCACAGCTACAACAACTACAACTTCCACTACAACTGCAACAACTACGACATACACTACTTCTACAACTACAACCTCCACTACATCTGCAACAACTACGAGGTACTCTACATGTGCAACAACTACGACTACCACTACCTCTACAACTACAATCTGCAGCACTTCTACAACTACAACCTCAACTCCATCTTCAACAACAACGAGTACAACAACAACTACGACCTACACTACAACCTACTACCTCCACTACATCTACTACAACTATGACGACTACAGCTACAGTAACTACGACATTCACTACATCTTCAACAACTACGACCTCGACTACATCTACAACAACTTCGACATCAACTACATCAACACCAACGACCTCCACTACATCTACAACAACTACGACCTCCACTACATTAACAACAACTACGACCTCAGCTACATCTACAACAACGACGACCTCCACTACATCAACAACAACAACAACGACCTCGACTACATCTACAACAACGACGAGTTCAACTTCAACTATTTCTACAACTACTACGACCTCCACTACTTCTACAATTACGACCTCCACTACTTCTACAACTACGACCTCCACTACATCTGCAACAACTCCGACCTCCACTACATCTGCCACAACTACGACCTCGACTACATCAACAACAACTACGACTTTCAGTACATCTACAACAAGTACTACCTCCACTACATCTACAACAACTACGACCTCGAGTATATCTTCCAAAACTCCGACCTCCACTATATCTGCCACAATTACGACCTCGACTACATCAACAACAACTATGACTTTCACTACATCTACAACAAGTACGACCTCCACTACATCTACAATAACTACGACCTCGACTATATCTTCCACAACTACGACCTCCACTACATATGACACAACTACGACTTCTAGTACATCTGAAACAACCTCGGCCTCCACTACATCCACAACAACTACGAGTACAACATCAACTATTTCTACAACAACTACGACCTCATCTACATCTACATCAACGACCTCATCTACATCGACAACTACGACCTCATCTACATCTACAACAACTACGACTTCATCTACATCAACAACTACGCCCTCTACTACAACAATTACTAGTTCAACTTCAACTGTTTTTACAACAATTACGACCTCATCTACATCTACAACAACTACGACCTCATCTACATCTACAACAACAACATCCTCATCTACATCAACAACTACGACCTCCACTACACCAACTACTAGTTCAACTTCAACCATTTCTACAACAACTACGACCTCCACTCCATCTACAACAACTACCACGTCCACTACATCCACAACAACTACAAGTACAACATCAACTATTTCTACAACTACGACCTCATCTGCATCTACAACTACAACGACCTACACTACATTTACAACAACTACAACCTCTACTCCATCTTCAACCACTACGAGTACAACATCAACTATTTTTTCCACAACTACGACCTCCAATACATCTACCTCATCTACGAGCTCCACTACATCTACCTCATCTACGAGCTCCACTACTTCTACCACTTCTACGAGCTCCACTACATCTATAGCAACTACGACAATCAACACATCTTCAACAACTACGATCTCGACTACTTCTACAACAACTACGATCTCGACTACTTCTACAACAACTACATCAACTAAATCAACAACTACTACCTCCGCTACATCAACAACCTCGACCTCGACTACATCTACATTTACGACCTCCACTACATCAACAACAACTACCACCTCAACTTCATCTATAACAACAACGACCTCCACTACGTCTACAACAATTACGACCTCGACTGCATCTTCAACAACGACCACCTCCACTGCATCAACCACTACGACCTTATCTACATCTAAAACTACTACGACCTCAACTACATTTACAACAATAACAACTTCCACTCCATCTTCAACAACTACGAGTTCAACATCAACTATTTCTACCACAACTACGACCTCCACTTTACCTGCAACAACGACGACCTCCACTACATATACGACAACTACGCCCTCCACTACATCAACAATTACGAGTACAATTTCAACTATTTCAACAACAATGACCTCCACTACATCTGCCACAACTACGACCTCGACTACATCAACAACAACTACGACTATCACAACATCTACAATAAGTACAACCTCCACTACATCCACAACAACTACGACCTCCACTATATCTTCCACAACTACGATGTCCACTACATCTGACACAACTATGACTTCCACGATATCTGCAACAACTACGACCTCCACTACATCCACAACAACTACGAGTACAACATCAACTATTTCTACAACAACTAAGACCTCATCTAGATCTACAACAACTACGACCTCATCTACATCGACAACTACAACCTCATCTACATCTACCACAACTACGACCTTCACTACATCTACCACAACCACGACATCTACTATAACTACCTCAACTACGATCTCCACTACATCTACAACAACTACGACCTCAACTTCACCTGCATTAACTACAACCTCCACTCCATCTACAACAACTACGACCTCCACTATAACTACAAAAACTTCGACCGCCACAACATCTGCAACATCGACGACCTCCACTATATCTACAACAACTACGAGTACAACATCAACTACTTCTATCGTAACTACAACCTCCACGACATCTGCAACAAGTACGACATCCACTACTACAACAACTACTACCTCCACTACATCTGCAACAACTACGACCTGCTCTACATGTGCAACAACTACAACCTCAACTACATCTGCAACAACTACAACATCCACTCCATCTTCAACAACTACGAGTAAAACATCAGTTATTTCTACGACAACTACAACCTCCACTACATCTACAGCTACTACAACCTCAGCTACATCTACAACAACGACGACCTCCACTACATCAACAACAACAACTACGACCTCGACTACATCAACAATAAAGAGTACAACTTCAATTACTACAACAACTACGACTTCCACTACATCTTCAACAACTATGACCTCTACATCTGCAGCAACTATGACCTCCACTTCATCTGCATCAACTACGATCTCCACTACATTTGCAACAACTACGACCTCGACTACATCTACAACAACTACGACCTCCACTATATCAACAACAATTACGACCTCAGCTACATCTACAACAACGACGACCTCCACTACATCAACAACAACAACTACGACCTCGTCTACATCTATACCAACTACGACCTCGACTACATCTACAACAACGACGACTTCAATTTCAACTATTTATACAACTACTACGGCCTTCACTACATCTACAACAACTACTACGGCCTTCACTACATCTGCAAAAACTACGACTGCCACTACATCTACAACTACAACCTCCACTACATCTACAACTCCTACCTCCACTACATCTGAAACAACTACGACCTCCACTACATCAACAATTACGAGTACAACTTCAACTACTACAACAACTACGACCTCAACTACATCTTTAACAACTACGACCTCCACTACATCTGCAACAACTACGACCTCTACTACATCTGCAACAACTACAACCACCACTCCATCTTCAACAACTACGAGTACAACATCAACTATTTCTACCACAACTACTACCTCCACTACATCTACCACAACTATGACCACTACAACTACAGCAACTACGACAATCACTACATCTTTAACAACTACGACCTCCACCACATCTACAACAACTACGACCTCCTCTATATCAACAACAACAACAACAACTACGACCTCGACTACAACTACAACAACGATGAGTTCAACTTCAAGTATTTCTACAACAACTACTACGGCCTTCACTACATCTGCAACAACTACGACCTGCTCTACATGTGCAACAACTACAACCTCTACTACATCTGCAATAACTACAACCTCCACTCCATCTTCAACAACTACGAGTACAACATCAACTACTTCTACCGTAACTACAACCTCCACTACATCTATAACAAGTACGACCTCCACTACTACAACAACTACTACCTCCACTACATCTGCAACAACTACGACCTGCTCTACATGTGCAATAACTACGACCTCCACTACATCTGCAACAACTACGAGGTGCCCTACATGTGCAACAAATACAATCTCTCCTACATCTGCAACAACTACAACCTCCACTCCATCTTCAACAACTACGAGTACAACATCAATTATTTCTACGACAACTACTACCTCCACTACATCTACAGCAACTACAACCTCAGCTACATCTAACACAACGACGACCTCCACTACATCAACAACAACTACGACCTCGACTACATCAACAAGAGGGAGTACAACTTCAACTACTACAACAACTACGACTTCCACTACATCCTCAACAACTATGACCTCCACTACATCTGTAACAACTACGACCTCCACTTCATCTGCATCAACTACGATCTCCACTACATTTGCAACAACTACGACTTCGACTACATCTACAACAATTACGACCTCAGCTACATCTACAACAACAACGACCTCAACTACATCAACAACAACAACTACGACCTCGTCTGTATCTATACCAACTACGACCTCGACTACATCTACAACAACGACGAGTTCAACTTCAACTATTTCTACAACAACTACTACGGCCTTCACTACATCTACAACAACTACTACGGCCTTCATTACATCTGAAACAAATACGACCTTCACTACATCTGAAACAACTACGACCTCCACTGCATCAACAATTACGAGTACAACTTCAACTACTACAACAACAACTACGACATCCACTATATCTTTAACAACTACGACCTCCACTACATCTGCAAAAACTACAACCTCCACTCCATCTTCAACAACTACGAGTACAACATCAACTATTTCTGCCACAACTATTACCTCCACTACAACTACCACAACTATGACGACTACAACTACAGCAACTACGACATTCACTACATCTTCAACAACTACGAAATCGACTACATCTACAACAACTACGACCTTCAATACTTCAACAACAACTACGACCTCAGCTACATCTACAACAACGACGACCTCCACTACATCAGCAACAACTACGACCATCACTACATCTACAACAACTACGTCAACAACTACGACCTCCATTACAACAACTACGATCTTCACTCCATCTACAACTACGACTTCAACTTCAACTATTTCTACAACAACTACGCTCTCCACTACATATACAACAACTACGACCTCCACTACATCTACAACAACTTCGACATCAAATACATCAACAACTACGACCTTCACCACATCAACAACAACTACGACCTTGACTACATCTACAACAACGACGAGTTCAACTTCAACTATTTCTACAACTACTACGACCTCCACTACTTCTACAACTACGACTTCAACTACATCTGCAACAACTCCGACCTCCACTACATCTGCCATAACTACGACCTCGACTACATCAACATCAACAACAACTACAACCTACACTACATCTACAACAACTACAACCTCCACTACATCAACAACAACCAATACGACCTCGGCTACATCTATACCAATTACGACCTCGACTACATCTACAACAACGACGAGTTCAACTTCAACTATTTCTACAACAACTACGACGGCCTTCACTACATCTACAACAACTACTACGGCCTTCACTACATCTACAACAACTGCGACTTCCTCTACATCTACAACAACTACGACTCCCACTACATCTGCATCAACTACGACATCCACTACATTTACAACTTCAACCTCCACTACATCTGCAACAACTACGACCTCCACTACATCTGCAACAACTACGACCTCCACTACATCCACAACAACTACGAGTACAACTTCAACTACAACAACTACAACAACTACAACCCCTACTGCATCTGAAACAACTACGACCACCACTACATCCACAACAACTACGAGTACAACTTCAACTACAACTACAACCCCTACTACATCAGCAACAACTACGCCCTCCACTACATCTGCAACTACTACGACCTACACTACATCTGCAACAACTACGACCTCCACTACATCTGCAAAAACTACAACCTCCACTCCATCTTCAACAACTACGAGTACAACATCAACTATTTCTGCCACAACTACTACCTCCACTACATCTACCACAACTATGAGGACTACAACTACAGCAACTACGACATTCACTACATCTTCAACAACTACGACCTCGACTGCATCTACAACAACTACGACCTTCACTACATCAACAACAACTACGACCTCAGCTACATCTACAACATCGACGACCTCCACTACATCAGCAACAACTACGACCACCACTACATCTACAACAACTACATCAACTACGTCAACAACTACGACCTCCTCTACAACAACTACGATCTTTACTCCATCTACAACTACGAGTTCAACTTCAACTATTTCTACAACTACGCTCTCCATTACATCTACAACAACTACGACTTCCACTACATCTACAACAACTTCGACATCAACTACATCAACAACTACGACCTTCACCACATCAACAACAACTACGACCTTGACTACATCTACAACAACGACGAGTTCAACTTCAACTATTTCTACAACAACTACGCTCTCCATTACATCTACAACAACTACGACCTCCACTACATCTGCAACAACTCCGACCTCCACTACATCTGCCATAACTACGACTTCGACTACATCAACAACAACTACGACTATCACTACATCTACAACAATTACAACCTCCACTATATCCACAACAACTACGACCTCCACTATATCTTCCACAACTACGACCTCCACTACATCTGACACAACTACGACTTCCACTATATCTGCAACAACTACGACCTCCACTACATCCACAACAACTTCGAGTACAACATCAACTATTTCTACAACAACTACGACCTCATCTGCATATACAACTACGACCTCATCTACAACGACAACTACAACCTCATCTACATCTACAACAACTACGACCTCATCTAAAACAACAACTACGACCTCTACTACAACAACTACTAGTTCAACTTCAACTATTTTTACAACTATTACGACCTCATCTACATCTACAACAAATACGACTTCATCTGCATCTACAACAACTACGACCTCATCTACATCAATAACTACCACCTCCACTACACCAACTACTAGTTCAACTTCAACCATTTCGAAAACAACTACGACCTCCACTCCATCTACAACAACTACGACGTCCACTACATTCACAACAACTACGAGTACATCAACTATTTCTACAACAACTACGACCTCATTAGCATCTACAACTACTACGACCTACACTACATCTACAACAACTACGACCTCCACTACATCTGACACAACTACGACTTCCACTATATCTGCAACAACTACGACCTCCACTACATCCACAACAACTTCGAGTACAACATCAACTATTTCTACAACAAGTACGACCTCATCTACATTAACAACTACGACCTCTACTACAACAACTACTAGTTCAACTTCAACTATTTTTAAAACAATTACGACCTCATCTACATCTACAACTACGACCTCATCTACATCTACAACAACTACGACCTCATCTACATCAACAACTACCACCTCCACTACACCAACTACTAGTTCAATTTCAACCATTTCTACAACACCTACGACCTCCACTCCATCTACAATAACTACGACGTCCACTACATCCACAACAACTACGAGTATAACATCAACTATTTCTACAACAACTACGACCTCATTTGCATCTACAACTACTACGACCTACACTACATCTATAACAACTACAACCTCCACCACATCAACAACGACAACTACGACCTCTGCTCCGTCTATACCATCTACGACCTCGACTACATCTACAACAACGACGAGTTCAACTTCAACTATTTCCACAAAAACTACTACGGCCTTCACTACATCTACAAGAACTACTACGGCCTTCACTACATCTACAACAACTACGACCCCAAATACATCTGCATCAACTACGACATCCACTACATTTACAACTTCAACCTCCACTACATCTGAAACAACAACGACCTCCACTACATCTGCAACAACTACGACCTCCACTACATCTGCAACAACTACGACCTCCACTTCATCCACAACAACTACGAGTACAACTTCAACTACAACAACTACAACCCCTACTACATCTGCAACAACTACGACCTCCACTACATCTGCAAATACTACGACCTACACTACATCTGCAACAACTACAACCTCCACTACATCTGCAACAACTACAACCTCCACTCCATCTCCAACAACTACGAGTACAACAACTATTTCTGCCACAACTACTTCCTCCACTACATCTACCACAACTATGACGACTACAACTACAGCAACTACGACATTCACTACAACTGCAACAACTACGACCTCGACGACATTTACAACAACTACGACCTTCACTACATCAACATCAACTACGACCTCAGCTACATCTACAACAACGACGACCTCCACTACATCAGCAACAACTACGACCACCACTACATATACAACAACTACATCAACTACGTCAACAACTGCGACCTCCACTACAACAACTACGATCTTCACTCCATCTACAACTACGAGTTCAACTTCAACTATTTCTACAACAACTATGCTCTTCACTACATCTACAACAACTTCGACATCAACTACATCAACAACTACGACCTTCACCACATCAACAACTACTACGACCTTGACTACATCTACAACAACGACGTGTTCAACTTCAACTATTTCTACAACTACGATCTCCACTACTTCTACAACTACGACCTCCACTACATCTGCAACAACTCCGACATCCACTACATCTGCCATAACTACGAACTCGACTACATCAACAACAACTACGACTCTCACTACATCTACAACAAGTACAACCTCCACTATATCCACAAGAACAACGACCTCCACTATATCTTCCACAACTACGACCTCCACTACATCTGACACAACTACGACTTCCACTACATCTGCAACAACTACGACCTCCACTACATCCACAACTTCGAGTACAACATCAACTATTTCTACAACAACTACGACCTCATCTACATATACAACTACGACCTCATCTACATCGACAACTACAACCTCATCTACATCTACAACAAGTACGACCTCATCTACAGCAACAACTACGACCTCTACTACAACAACTACTAGTTCAACTTCAACTATTTTTCCAACAATTACGACCTCATCTACATCTACAACAAATACGACTTCATCTGCATCTACAACAACTACGACCTCATCTACATCAATAACTACCACCTCCACTACACCAACTACTAGTTCAACTTCAACCATTTCGAAAACAACTACGACCTCCACTCCATCTACAACAACTACGACGTCCACTACATTCACAACAACTACGACGTCCACTACATTCACAACAACTACGAGTACATCAACTATTTCTACAACAACTACGACCTCATTAGCATCTACAACTACTACGACCTACACTACATCTACAACAACTACGACCTCCACTACATCTGACACAACTACGACTTCCACTATATCTGCAACAACTACGACCTCCACTACATCCACAACAACTTCGAGTACAACATCAACTATTTCTACAACAAGTACGACCTCATCTACATTAACAACTACGACCTCTACTACAACAACTACTAGTTCAACTTCAACTATTTTTAAAACAATTACGACCTCATCTACATCTACAACTACGACCTCATCTACATCTACAACAACTACGACCTCATCTACATCAACAACTACCACCTCCACTACACCAACTACTAGTTCAACTTCAACCATTTCTACAACACCTACGACCTCCACTCCATCTACAATAACTACGACGTCCACTACATCCACAACAACTACGAGTATAACATCAACTATTTCTACAACAACTACGCCCTCATTTGCATCTACAACTACTACGACCTACACTACATCTATAACAACTACAACCTCCACCACATCAACAACGACAACTACGACCTCTGCTCCGTCTATACCATCTACGACCTCGACTACATCTACAACAACGACGAGTTCAACTTCAACTATTTCCACAAAAACTACTACGGCCTTCACTACATCTACAAGAACTACTACGGCCTTCACTACATCTACAACAACTACGACCCCAAATACATCTGCATCAACTACGACATCCACTACATTTACAACTTCAACCTCCACTACATCTGAAACAACAACGACCTCCACTATATCTGCAACAACTACGACCTCCACTACATCTGCAACAACTACGACCTCCACTTCATCCACAACAACTACGAGTACAACTTATACTACAACAAATACAACCCCTACTACATCTGCAACAACTACGACCTCCACTACATCTGCAAATACTACGACCTACACTACATCTGCAACAACTACAACCTCCACTACATCTGCAACAACTACAACCTCCACTCCATCTCCAACAACTACGAGTACATCAACTATTTCTGCCACAACTACTTCCTCCACAACATCTACCACAACTATGCCGACTACAACTACAGCAACTACGACATTCACTACAACTGCAACAACTACGACCTCGACTACATCTACAATAACTACGACCTTCACTACATCAACAACAACTACGACCTCAGCTACATCTACAACAACGACGACCTCCACTACATCAGCAACAACTACGACCACCACTACATCTACAACAACTACATCAACTACGTCAACAACTGCGACCTCCACTACAACAACTACGATCTTCACTCCATCTACAACTACGAGTTCAACTTCAACTATTTCTACAACAACTATGCTCTTCACTACATCTACAACAACTTCGACATCAACTACATCAACAACTACGACCTTCACCACATCAACAACTACTACGACCTTGACTACATCTACAACAACGACGTGTTCAACTTCAACTATTTCTACAACTACTACGATCTCTACTACTTCTACAACTACGACCTCCACTACATCTGCAACAACTCCGACATCCACTACATCTGCCATAACTACGAACTCGACTACATCAACAACAACTACGACTCTCACTACATCTACAACAAGTACAACCTCCACTATATCCACAAGAACAACGACCTCCACTATATCTTCCACAACTACGACCTCCACTACATCTGACACAACTACGACTTCCACTACATCTGCAACAACTACGACCTCCACTACATCCACAACTTCGAGTACAACATCAACTATTTCTACAACAACTACGACCTCATCTACATATACAACTACGACCTCATCTACATCGACAACTACAACCTCATCTACATCTACAACAAGTACGACCTCATCTACAGCAACAACTACGACCTCTACTACAACAACTACTAGTTCAACTTCAACTATTTTTCCAACAATTACGACCTCATCTACATCTACAACAAATACGACTTCATCTGTACCTACTACAACTACGACCTCATCTACATCAATAACTACCACCTCCACTACACCAACTACTAGTTCAACTTCAACCATTTCGAAAACAACTACGACCTCCACTCCATCTACAACAACTACGGCGTCCACTACATTCACAACAACTACGAATACATCAACTATTTCTACAACAACTACGACCTCATTAGCATCTACAACTACTACGACCTACACTACATCTACAACAACTACGACCTCCACTACATCTGACACAACTACGACTTCCACTATATCTGCAACAACTACGACCTCCACTACATCCACAACAACTTCGAGTACAACATCAACTATTTCTACAACAAGTACGACCTCATCTACAGCAACAACTACGACCTCTACTACAACAACTACTAGTTCAACTTCAACTATTTTTCCAACAATTACGACCTCATCTACATCTACAACAACTACGACGTCATCTACATCTACAACAACTACGACCTCATATACATCAACAACTACCACCTCCACTACACCAACTACTAGTTCGACTTCAACCATTTCTACATCACCTACGACCTCCACTCCATCTACAATAACTACGACGTCAACTACATCCACAACAACTACGAGTATAACATCAACTATTTCTACAACAACTACGACCTCATTTGCATCTACAACTACTACAACCTACACTACATCTACAACAACTACAACCTCCACTACATCAACAACAACAACAACTACGACCTCGGCTACATCTATACCAACTACGACCTCGACTACATCTACAACAACGACAAGTTCCACTTCAACTATTTCTACAACAACTACTACGGCCTTCACTACAGCTACAACAACTACTACGGCCTTCACTACATCTACAACATCTACGACCTCATCTACATCTATAACAACTACGACCTCAACTACATCAACAACTACCACCTCCACTACACCAACTACTAGTTCAACTTCAACGATTTCTACAACAACTACGACCTCGACTACATCAACAACAACTACGACTATCACTACATCTATAACAAGTACAACCTCCACAACAACTACGACCTCCACTATATCTTCCACAACTACGACCTCCACTACATCTGACACAACTACGACTTCCCCTACATCTGCAACAACTACCACCTCCACTACATCCACAACAACTACGAGTACAACATCAACTATTTCTACAACAACTACGACCTCATCTTTAACTACGACCTCATCTTCATCGACAACTGCAACCTCATCTACATCTACAACAACTACGACCTCATCTACATCAACAATTACGACCTCTACTGCAACAACTACTAGTTCAACTTCAACTATTTTTACAACAATTACGACCTCATATACATCTGCAACAACTACGACCTCATCTACATCTACAACAACTACGACCTCATCTACATCAACAACTACGACCTCCACTACACCAACTACTAGTTCAACTTCAACCATTTCTATAACAACAACGACCTCCACTCCATCTACAAAAACTATGACGTCCACTACATCCACAACAACTACGAGTACAACATCAACTATTTCTACAACAACTACGACCTTATCTGCATCTACAACTACTACGACCTACACTACATCTACAACAACTACAACCTCCACTCCATCTTCAACCACTACGAGTACAACGTCAACTATTTCTTCCACAACAATGACCTCCACTACATCTACCACATCTACAAGCTCCACTACATCTATAGCAACTACGACATTCACTACGTCTTCAACAAATACGGTCTCGACAACTTCTACAACAACTACATCAACTACATCAACAACTACTACCTCCGCTACATCAACACCCTCAACCTCGACTACATCTACAACTACGACCTACACTACATCAACAACAACTACCACCTCAACTACATCTACAACAACGACGACCTCCACTACGTCTATAACAATTACGACCTCGACTGCATCTACACCAACTATGACCTTGACGACATCTACAATAACTACTACCTCCACTACATCAACAACAACTACGACCTCAACAACATCTACAACAACGACCACCACCACTGCATCAACCATTACGACCTCATCTACATCTACAACTACTACGACCTCAACTACATTTACAACAACTACAACTTCCACTCCATCTTCAACAACTACGAGTACAACATCAACTATTTCTACCACAACTACGACCTCCACTTCAACTGCAACAACTACGATCTCCACTACATCTACGACAACTACGACCTCCACTTCATCAACAATTACGAGTACAACTTCAACTATTTCAACAACAACGACGTCCACTACATCTGCCACAACTACGACCTCGACTACATCAACAACAACTACGACTTTCACTACATCTGCAACAACTACGACCTCCACTACATCCACAACAACTCTGAGTACAACATCAACCATTTCTACAACAACTGCGACCTCATCTGCATCTACAACTACGACCTCATCTACATCGACAACTACAATCTCATCTACATCTACAACAACTAAGACCACCTCTACATCAACAACTACGACCTCAACTACAACAACTACTAGTTCAACATCAACTATTTTTACAACAATTACAACCTCATCTACATCTACAACAACTACGACCGCATCTACATCTACAACAACTACGACCTCATCTATATCAACAACTACGACCTCCACTACACCAACTACTAGTTCAACTTCAACCATTTCTACAACAACTACGAACTCCACTCCATCTACGACAACTACGACTTCATCTACATCCACAACAACTACGAGTACAACATCAACTATTTCTTCAACAACTACGACTTCATCTGCATCTACAATTACTACGACCTACACTACATCTACAACAACTACAACCTCCACTCCATCTTCAACCACTACGAGTACAACATCCACTATTTCTTCCACAACTACGACCTCCACTACGTCTACCACATCAGCGAGCTCCACTACATCTATAGCAACTACGACATTCACTACATCTTCAACAACTAGGATCTCGACTACTTCTACTACAACTACATCAACAACTACTACCTCCGCTACATCAACAACCTCGACCTCGACTGTATCTACAACTAAGACCTCCACTACATCACCAGCAACTACCACCTCAACTACATCTACAACAACGACGACCTCCACTACGTCTACAACAATTACGACCTCGACTGCATCTACACCAACTACGACCTCGACGACATCTACAATAACTACGACCTCAACAACATCTACAACAACGATCACCTCCACTGCAATAACCACTACGACCTTATCTACATCTACAACTGCTACGACTTCAACTACATTTACAACAACAACAACTTCCACTCCATCTTCAACAACTACGAGTACAACATCAACTATTTCTACCGCAACTACGACCTCCACTTCACCTGCAACAACTACGACCTCCACTACATCTTCGACAACTACGACCTCCACCACGTCAACAATTACGAGTACAACTACAACTATTTCAACAACAACGACCTCCACTACATCTGCCACAACTACGACCTCGACTACATCAACAACAACTATGACTATCACTACATCTACAACAAATACAACCTCCACTACATCCACAACAACTACGACCTCCACAATATCTTCCACAACTACGACCTCCACTACATCTGACACAACTACGATTTCCACTACATCTGCGACAACTACGACCTCCACTACATCCACATCAACTACGAGTACAACATCGACTATTTCTACAACAACTACGACCTCATCTACATCCTCAACTACGACCTCATCTTCATCGACAACTACAACCTCACCTACATCTACAACAACTACGACCTCATCTACATCAACAACTACCACCTCCACTACACCAACTACTAGTTCAACTTCAACCATTTCTACAACAACTACGACCTTCGCTCCATCTACAACAACTACGACGTCCACTACATCCACAACAACTACGAGTACAACATCAACTATTTCTACAACAACTACGACCTCAACTGCATCTACAACTACTGCGACCTACACTACATCTACAACCTCCACTCCACCTTCAACCACTACGAGTACAACATCAACTATTTCTTCCAGAACTACGACCTCCACTTCATCTACCACATCTACGAGCTCCACTACATCTATAGTAACGACGACATTCACTACATCTTCAACAACTACGATCTCGACTACTTCTACAACAACTACATCAACTACATCAACAACCTCGACCTCGACTACATCTACTACTACGACCTCCACTACATCAACAACAACTACGACCTCAACAACATCTACAACAATGACCACTTCCACTGCATCAACCACTACGACCTCATCTACATCTACAACTACTACGACCTCAACTACATTTAAAACAACTACAACTTCCACTCCATCTTCAACAACTACGAGTACAACATCAACTATTTCTACCACATCTACGACCTCCACTTCACCTGCAACAACTACGACCTCCGGTACATCTACGACCTCCACTACATCAACAATTACGAGTACAACTTCAACTATTTCAACAACAACGACCTCCAGTACATCTACAACAACTACGACTTCCACTACAACTGCAACAACTACGACATTCATTATTTCTACAACTACGACCTCCACTACATCTGCAACTGCTACGACCTCCACTACATCCACAACAACTTCGATTACAACTTCAACTACATTTCTTACGACCTCCACTACAACTGCAACGATTACGACCTCCAATACTTCTACAACAACTACAAGTACATCAACAACAACAACAACTACATCTTCTACATCAACAAGTTCCACAACAATGTAAATAGATGACTTTTTCACGCAGCTATTCGATATGAAGTATAAAGGCATTCTCCTTTTTTACGATGAACGGTTCGAATAGATAAACAAAATAATGGTGGTGGTGATGTTTCTTTTGTTTATTTATTTATTTATTTATTTATTTATTTATTTATTTTTGCAAGAGTTCTTACATTCTTTAACGGCCACTAGCATGCATAGCGATTCAGGCAAGTTCTTAATCGTATGTTCCTCGTAATACAACCCGCCAATTCGTTTAACAACCAGGAACCTATTTTATTGTTGGGTAAACAGACGCTACAGTTAAGGATTGGCGCCCAGTAAATCCTCCCCGGCAAGGATACGAACCCTGGACAAAGCGCTCGCGAAATGCCAGACGAGTGTCTTACCACTTCACCACGGCGACATTTTTACATACACATACAGAAACGTACATACATACATGCATACATCTTCACACATCTGAGGGTTCTGGTAGCTGTGTGGACATCGCGCGGGACTCGAAATCCTGGGACCCTGGTTCGATTCCCGGACTAGGCAGAGACAAATGGTCAGAGATTCTTTCACCATAATGCTCCTGTTACCGAGCAGCAAATAGGTACCTGGGAGTTAAATAGCTGTTACGGAGCTGCTTCCTGGGTGTGTGTTGGCGGGAGGGGGGGGGGGGAATTAGTAAGTAAATAGTAAAAAGTTGATTGATTGACAGTTGAGAGGTGGACCGAAACAGCAGAGCTCAACCCCCGCAAGCAAAAATTGGTGAATACACAAATACAAATACATTCATGCATACACAACAACAACACACAATAAAGGTTTCCTCCTGGATTTTCAGTAAGCTGTATAATTACGGCGGTATTAATTACTCCCTGGAAGTTGATAGGGTTTAAGCACAACACCTAACCAAAAGCTTCTCTGGTTAAATTCTGAACACTTTCCATTGCCTTTTTATTCGTAATACGGAAGTATCCCCCCCAACTTTCATTTGAACCCTCAGTCTGTCCCTATCGAGTAATTATCTGATCATTTATGATCATCTTCATTCTGAAGTGACTTATGTAGGAGTTTTGCTCATTTGTTAGGAAAGAATATACATAATTTCAGATTACACACAGAAATCACATAGACGTGATGCATCAATAAGCAAATCCACAAGGGCCGTGACGAGGATTCGAACCTACGTCCGAGATGATCCCATACGCTGCCTTAATCGACTGAGTTACGACATGGTCAAAAGAGTTCACACCGAAGTTCTACTACTATTACTGGATCCTGCAGTCTCTCTGAGACACAAACCCCCACAAACCATGGAGAAGTTGCGTAAAACCCTGGTTTGTGTCTCGGAGAGACTAGAGGCTCCAGTAAGTGCAGTAGAACTTCGGTTTCGACTCTTTTGACCATGTCGTAGCTCAGTCGATTAAGGCAGCGTCTGGGATCATCTCGGACGTAGGTTCGAATCCTCGTCACGGCCCTTGTGGATTTGTTTCTAATTTCAGATTCCTTCATAGCTTGAAGAACAAATTTCCTTATGTCATGCACAGTATTGATTGACTTCGCAAGTGTCGTCTGCTACATGAGAAGTTGTGACTTGTTAGGGAGTTTCTTCGGGTGCATGTGGTGACAGTGTGTGTGAATGCAAGTGCAGCAAGAATATGACTGAACACTGTCTCTGTCACAACAATTGTATTGGTAGTGTAGTTGAAGAAGTGGAGCGATGGTGTTAGCCCACCTCCCTCACTCTGTGTTCTACAATAAGTGTACGCATGGAATGGAAACGTTCAAACCTGTATGGACTTGGATGAAGTATTTGCCTACTGATTGTAAGCTATATTGGAGGGCAAGTGGGGCCTGTGTGAGTGTATGAAGTAGTATGAAGAACTATGAAGATGAATAATAAAAGATATGTGAAGAAGTATGAAGAACTATGAATTCATTCTTCCCTTTTATGTTTCAGAAGAACATTCTTATCTCACATGCCAATTGCTTCTATATTCTAATATTTTGTCCTTAATTCTTTTGTCCTGGAACAAGAGATCTTATAAAACCTAGGTATATGAAAAAACAGTATTTAATGCTTCAAGGCACTGAATGTTATTTCACTGTTATATATGGACAATAGATTCGAAGTCACAACAGTCTAGGTTAACACTATGTCCCTCCTGTTTGGTCGTTCCCACAGTTATGAACTCGTTTTTTCTGTTACATGCTGAGTCATGAAAAACCTTTTAGTCTTGGATTCTGCCAGATTAACCTTGAAAGTCTCAGACGCTTCACACGGGTTCCTGAGATACCTCCTTTCTTTCATCATGATTCAAGTTACATTTATTAGCAGTTTTTTAAATATTCTGTTTCTGCTTTAGTTTGTATCTTTATATTTTACTTTTTACTTTTATCTTTGAATGTTGAAACTTTTGAAACAATTATTCGCTGAGGTTACTTACCAAACAGATTTAGACGAAGTGTTGCACTTACTAAAAAAAAAATTATTTCCTTAAATTAAGATTCAATTTTCAATAATGAATGATATATCAATAATACAATCATTTCATAGTAATTACTGACAATATATTGTTTACATTTTAGAGTAACGTTAATTTTTTCAAAACTGTTTTACCTTCAGGATTTCAACAACACCAACGACTTCTACAACAATTATATTCTCCACTACATTTACAACAACTACGACTTCCACCACATCTGCAACAACTACGACCTCTACTACATCTACACCAACTACGACCTCCACTACATCTACAACAACTACGACCTTCACTACGTTTACGACCTCCACTACATTTACAACAACTTCGACCTCCACTACATCCGCAACAAGTACGACCTTCACTACAACTACGACCTCCACTACATCTACTACAACTTCGACCTTCACTACATCTATCACAACTCCGACCTCCACTACATCTACCGTACCTACGACCTTCACTACATCTGCCACAACTACGGCATCCACTACAACTACCTCAACTACGACCTCCACTACATCAACAACAATGACCTCCACTACACCTGCATCAACTACAACCTCCACTTCATCTACAACAACTGCGACCTCAACTACATTTGTAACAACTACGACCTCCACTACATTTTCAACAACTATAACCTCCACTACATCTATAACAACGACGACCTCCACTACATCAACAACAACAACAACTACGACCTCGACTATACCTACAACAACGATGAGTTCAAATTCAAATATTTCTACAACAACTACTACGACCTTCACTACATCTACAACAACTACGACCTCCACTACATCTACAACAACTACGACTTGCTCTACATGTGCAACAACTACAACCTCTACTGCATCTGCAAAAACTACAACCTCCACTCCATCTTCAACAACTACGAGTACAACATCAACTATTTCTACGACAACTACTACATCCACTACATCTACAGCTACTATAACCTCAGCTACATCTACAACAACGACGACCTCCACTACATCAACAACAACAACTACGACCTCGTCTACATCACCAATTACGAGTACAACTTCAACTACTACAACAACTACGACCTCCACTACATCTGCAACAACTACGACCTGCTCTACATGTGTAACAACTACGACCTCCACTACATCTGCAACAACTACCAGTAACACTTCAACTACATCAACTACAACCTCTACTACATTTGCAACAACTACAACCTCCACTTCATCTTCAACAACTAAAAGTACAACATCAACTATTTCTACGCCAACTACTACCTCCACTACATCTACCACAACTACGACTTCCACTACATCTACAGCAACTACGACATTCACTATATCTTCAACGACTACGACCTCGACTACATCTAAAACAACGACGAGTTCAACTTCAACTATTTCTGCAATAATAACTACGACCTTCACTACATCTGCAACAACTACGACTTCAGCTAACTCTACAACAACTACGACCTCCACCACATCTGCAAAAACTACGACTTCCACTACATCTTCAACAATTACGAGAACAACATCAACACTTTCTACAACATCTACGACCTCATCTACATCTACAGCTACTACGATCTCCACTATATCTTCAACAACTACGAGTACAACATTAACTATTTCTTCCACAACAACGACCTCCGCTACATCTGCAACAACTACGACCTCCACTACATCTGCAACAACTACGACCTCCACTATATCTGCAACTACTACGACCTCCACTCCATCTTCAACAACCACGAGTTCATCATCAACTATTTCTACCACAACTACTACCTCCACTACATCTAACACAACTACGACCTCCACTACATATACAGCAACTACGACCTCCACTACATCAACAATTACTAGTACAACCTTAAATACTGCAACAACTACGACCTCCATTACGTCTGCAACAACTACGACCTCCACTACATCTGCAACAACTACGACCCCTACTACATCCACAACAACGACGAGTACAACTTCAACTACAACAACTACAACCCCTATTACATCTGCAACAACTACAACCCCTACTACATCTGCAACAACTACGACCTCCACTACATCTGCAACAACTACGACCTCCACTACTTCTACAACAACTACCAGTACATCAACAACAACAACTACATCTTCCACATCAAGTTCCACAACAATGTAAATACATGACTCACGTAGTTATTCGATTTGAAGTATAAAGGCATTCTCCTTTTGTATGATGAATGGTTCGAATAGCTTAACAAAATGATGGTGGTGGTGATGTTTCTGTTGATGAATATAACCTCAGTTGATTTTAGAATATACAAGTAATTAGTGTGTATGTGTGTGTGTGTATATTATATATATATATATATACATATATATATATATATATATATATATATATATATATATATATACATATATATACATATATATATATATATATATATATATATATATATATATATATATATATATATATATATATATATATATATATATATATATATATATATGTCGTACCTAGTAGCCAGAACGCACTTCTCAGCCTACTATGCAAGGCCCAATTTGCCTAATAAGCCAAGTTTTCATGAATTAATTGTTTTTCGACTACCTAACCTACCAAACCTTACCTAACCTAACTTTTTCGGCTACCAAACCTAACCTAACCTATAAAGATAGGTTAGGTTAGGTTAGGTAGGGTTGGTTAGGTTCGGTCATATATCTACGTTAATTTTAACTCCAATAACAAAAAATTGACCTCATACATAATGAAATAGGTAGCTTTATCATTTGATAAGAAAAAAAATAGAGAAAATATATTAATTCAGGAAAATTGGCTTATTAGGCAAATCGGGCCATGCATAGTAGGCTGAGAAGTGAGTTCTGGCTACTAGGTACGACATATATATAAATATATATATATATATATATATATATATATATATATATATATATATATATATATATATATATATATATATATATATATATATATTTAATATATATATATATATATATATATATAATATATATATATATATATATATATATATATATATATATATATATATATATATATATATATATATATATATATATATATATGTCGTACCTAGTAGCCAGAACTCACTTCTCAGCCTACTATTCAAGGCCCGATTTGCCTAATAAGCCAAGTTTTCCTGAATTAATATATTTACTATAACTTTTTTCTTATGAAATGATAAAGCAACCCTTTTCTCTATGTATGAGGTCAATTTTTTTTATTGGAGTTAAAATTAACGTAGATATATGACCGAACCTAACCAACCCTACCTAACCTAACCTAACCTATATTTATAGGTAAGGTTAGGTTAGGTAGCCAAAAAAAGCTAGGTTAGGTTAGGTTAGGTAGGTTAGGTAGACGAAAAAACATTAATTCATGAAAACTTGGCTTATTAGGCAAATCGGGCCTTAAATAGTAGGCTGAGAAGTGCGTTCTGGCTATTAGGTACGACATATATATATATATATATATATATATATATGTCGTACCTAGTAGCCAGAACTCACTTCTCAGCCTACTATTCAAGGCCCGATTTGCCTAATAAGCCAAGTTTTCCTGAATTAATATATTTACTATAATTTTTTTCTTATGAAATGATAAAGCAGCCCTTTTCTCTATGTATGAGGTCAATTTTTTTTTATTGGAGTTAAAATTAACGTAGATATATGACCGAACCTAACCAACCCTACCTAACCTAACCTAACCTATATTTATAGGTAAGGTTAGGTTAGGTAGCCAAAAAAAGCTAGGTTAGGTTAGGTTAGGTAGGTTAGGTAGACGAAAAAACATTAATTCATGAAAACTTGGCTTATTAGGCAAATCGGGCCTTGAATAGTAGGCTGAGAAGTGCGTTCTGGCTATTAGGTACGACATATATATATATATATATATATATATATATATATATATATATATATATATATATGTCGTACCTAGTAGCCAGAACTCACTTCTCAGCCTACTATTCAAGGCCCGATTTGCCTAATAAGCCAAGTTTTCCTGAATTAATATATTTTTATAATTTTTTTCTTGTGAAATGATAAAGCTACCCATTTCTCTATGTATGAGGTCAATATTTTTTTATTGGGTTTAGAATTAACGTAGATATATGACCGAACCTAACCAACCCTACCTAACCTAACCTAACCTATCTTTATAGGTTAGGTTAGGTTAGGTAGCAAAAAAAGTTAGGTTAGGTTAGGTTAGGTAGGTTAGGTAGTCGAAAAAACATTAATTCATGAAAACTTGGCTTATTAGGCAAATCGGGCCTTGAATAGTAGGCTTAGAAGTGCGTTCTGGCTGTTAGGTACGACATATATATATATATATATATATATATATATATATATATATATATATATATATATATATATATGTCGTATATATAGCCAGATATATATTGAATATAGGCATAGAAGTGCGTTCTGGCTGTTAGGTACGACATATATATATATATATATATATATATATATATATATGTCGTACCTAACAGCCAGAACGCACTTCTATGCCTACTATTCAAGGCCCGATTTGCCTAATAAGCCAAGTTTTCATGAATTAATTGTTTTTCGACTACCTAACCTACCTAACCTAACCTAACCTAACTTTTTCTGCTACCTAACCTAACCTAACCTATAAAGATAGGTTAGGTTAGGTTAGGTAGGGTTGGTTAGGTTCGGTCATATATCTACGTTAATTTTAACTCAAATAAAATAAAATTGACCTCAAACATAATGAAATGGGTAGCTTTATCATTTCAAATGAAAAAATTTAGAGAAAATATATTAATTCAGGAAAACTTGGCTTATTAGGCAAATCGGGCCTTGCATAGTAGGCTGAGAAGTGCGTTCTGGCTACTAGGTACGACATATATATATATATATATATATATATATATATATATATATATATATATATATATATATATATATATATATATATATATATATATATATATATGTACCTAGTAGCCAGAACGCACTACTCGGCCTACTATGCAAGGCCCGATTTGCCAAGTAAGCCAAGTTTTCCTGAATTAATATATTTTCTCTAATTTTTTCTTATGAAATGATAAAGCTACCCATTTCATTACGTATGAGGTCAACTTTTTTTTATTTGAATTAAAATTAACGTAGATATATGACCAAACCTAACCAACCCTACCTAACCTAGCCTAACCTATCTTTTTAGGGTAGGTTAGGTTAGGTAGCCGATAAAGTTAGGTTAGGTTGGGTTAGGTAGGTTAGGTAGTCGAAAAACAATTAATTCATGAAAACTCGGCTTATTAGGCAAATCGGGCCTTGCATAGTAGGCTGAGAAGTGCGTTCTGGCTACTAGGTACGACATATATATATATATATATATATATATATATATATATATGTCGTACCTAGTAGCCAGAACGCACTTCTCAGCCTACTATGCAAGGCCCGATTTGCCTAATAAGCCAAGTTTTCATGAATTAATATATTTACTATAATTTTTTTCTTATGAAATGATAAAGCTATCCTTTTCACTACGTATGAGGTCAATTTTTTTTATTGGAGTTAAAATTAACGTAGATATATGACCGAACCTAACCAACCCTACCTAACCTAACCTATCCTATATATATAGGTAAGGTTAGGTTAGGTAGCCAAAAAAAGCTAGGTTAGGTTAGGTTAGGTAGGTTAGGTAGACGGAAAAACATTAATTCATGAAAACTTGGCTTATTAGGCAAATCGGGCCTTGCATAGTAGGCTGAGAAGTGAGTTCTGGCTACTAGGTACGACATATATATATATATATATATATATATATATATATATATATATATATATATATATATATATATATATATATATATATATATCGTACCTAGTAGCCAGAACGCACTTCTCAGCCTACTATTCAAGGCCCGATTTGCCTAATAAGCCAAGTTTTCATGAATTAATGTTTTTTCGACTACCTAACCTACCTAACCTAACCTAACCTAGCTTTTTTTGGCTACCTAACCTAAACTAACCGATAAATATAGGTTAGGTTAGGTTAGGTAGGGTTGGTTAGGTTCGGTCATATATCTACGTTAATTTTAGCTCCAATTAAAAAAAAATGACCTCATACATAGAGAAAAGGGTTGCTTTATCATTTCATAAGAAAAAAATTATAGTAAATATATTAATTCAGGAAAACTTAGCTTATTAGGCAAATCGGGCCTTGAATAGTAGGCTGAGAAGTGAGCTTATTAGGCAAATCGGGCCTTGCATAGTAGGCTGAGAAGTGCGTTCTGGCTACTAGGTACGACATATATATATATATATATATATATATATATATATATGTCGTACCTAGTAGCCAGAACTCACTTCTCAGCCTACTATTCAAGGCCCGATTTGCCTAATAAGCCAAGTTTTCCTGAATTAATATATTTACTATAATTTTTTTTCTTATGAAATGATAAAGCAACCCTTTTCTCTATGTATGAGGTCAATTTTTTTTTATTGGAGCTAAAATTAACGTAGATATATGACCGAACCTAACCAACCCTACCTAACCTAACCTAACCTATATTTATCGGTAAGTTTAGGTTAGGTAGCCAAAAAAAGCTAGGTTAGGTTAGGTTAGGTAGGTTAGGTAGACGAAAAAACATTAATTCATGAAAACTTGGCTTATTAGGCAAATCGGGCCTTGAATAGTAGGCTGAGAAGTGCGTTCTGGCTATTAGGTACGACATATATATATATATATATATATATATATATATATATATGTCGTACCTAGTAGCCAGAACGCACTTCTCAGCCTACTATGCAAGGCCCGATTTGCCTAATAAGGCAAGTTTTCATGAACTAATTGTTTTTCGACGACCTAACCTACCTAACCTAACCTAACCTAACTTTTTCGGCTACCTAACCTAACCTAACCTATAAAGATAGGTTAGGTTAGGTTAGGTAGGGTTGGTTAGGTTTGGTCATATATCTACGTTAATTTTAACTCCAATAATTTTTTTTTTACCAGTACATAATGAAATGAGTAGCTTTATCATTTCATAAGAAAAAAATTTGAGAAAATATATTAATTCAGGAAAACTTGGCTTATTAGGCAAATCGGGCCTTGCATAGTAGGCTGAAAAGTGCGTTCTGGCTACTAGGTACGACATATATATATATATATATATATATATATATATATATATATATATATATATATATACCTAGTAGCCAGAACGCACTTCTCAGCCTACTATGCAAGGCCCGATTTGCCTAATAAGCCAAGTTTTCATGAATTAAAGTTTTTTCGACAACCTAACCTACCTAACC